TTGGACAAAGGGTTGTTGCCACATTGGACCCAAAGACTCTATTGCTTCTTTGATCCCAGCTCCGCAATCTGAAATGACACAGATTTTTTCCCTCGTGATAACATGTGCATATAAGTTTCGGAGAAAAAAAAGCCCAAGAATTTGTATTTTCTCCTTCGACAAGAGCAAAAGCAACTGGAAGAATGTTACGATTGCTATCTTGGACAACTGCCAATAATAAAACTTGCTTGTATTTTCCATACAAGAAAGTCCCGTCGATCTGGACCACAGGCTTGTAGTATTTGACAACATTAACGCACTGTGGGTAAGTCCAAAAAACCCGGTAGAATTGGCATTGATCGCGTAGAACTCGATCATTATGGTATGCATAGGAGGTTTCGAAGTCTACAATTATCCCAGGATTCAACGTCCGCACCAGCCTAAACCAACCTGGAAGTTCGTTGTAAGATGCATCCCATTCGCCATGAAGTTTGACAATGGCATTTTGTTTTGCCAACCAAGCTTTTTTATTGGAGATAGTGTACTCATACTGCGATTGTATAGTTGAAATCAACACTGCAACTGCTATATGAGAGCTTGCTTTTACCATGGGCATGATAGCTTGGCATATCACTTCAGAGTCCAAGTTGGGATGATCTTGGTTGACCCCTCCAGCACAACATGTGTGAGGACCGTTGTATACTGTTAGTTCCCATCTGTTGTTTTTCCTCTTCCTCTCCGATACGCGAACCATCCATTTGCATCCGTTTTCGCGTTGGGTACAATAGCATACATATTTTTCGATCGTGGAGCGGTCGACTCTAGACTGAACAGAATTACGGATATTGTAATTTTTGATAGCCATCATTGCTTCTTCTTTGCTTGAAAACTCCATGCCTAAAGATAACTCACCATTATTTATTGACGAGTAATATCCATAGTCACCGAGATGAGGCATATCCTCAAATTCTGGCTCGTACATTGCACCTAATCAGCTTCATACATGTGTGTAGGAGGGTCAGTTTGTGCCACATTTCCTGGAACTTCATCTACATCATCATCATCGGAGTTGAATTGCGGTGATTCTGGGTGAATGAATAGTTCAATCTCAGCACCATCCGCACCAGGCTCACGAAGCGGTTCTTCTGGTGGAGATGATGGTTCCTCCATGCTCTCCACATTTAGGTCGAAGAAACTACTACTTGCACGCCTTCCCCTTGAACTAAAAGGCATATCGACATTAAGATCGAAAAAGCTCGCAGTCGAATGCCTCCCACTGGAGCTTGAAGCCATCGTGTCAAATGGATAGTGCACAGATTCTTGCGTCGATGTCATCTCCATATTAAGGTCAAAGGGATTTGCAGATGAATGTCTTCCCCTTGAACTGCACGCGATATTGCCATACAGATTGTTCGTTGACACACCTCGGTACATATCATAAGAAGTTGCGGATGAATGTCTCCCTATTATGGCATTAAAATCATTACACATTACTGTCGTCGGGCTATCAACTTGAACAACTTGTTCAGCCAGCCCATAGTGAGAGCTTAATGATTGACCCTGGCAGCACGCACTTGAACAAAATTTGCATACATCTCAATATCGGCATCCGAATAATTACTTTGAGATTCAACTGTCACTTCAACATCATCATGGTTCGAAAGTTCGAACGATGTATAAGTTAATGGCAATAATGATGTTGGAAATCTATACTGCAATGACGATATTCTTCTACTACTTCCAACATGAACCTTCCTCGAAATCTTCGTTATCAGCTCATCAAGAGTTATGTTTCTCTTGAATGATATTTTAACACGCTTATTTGATACGAAAACAACGTCAGTTTCATCTTCTCGAATTTCACTATCATAATAAACAATAGCTGAAAGTCGCGTCATTCTTTGAGTTTAAAAGTGCGACAATATTATATCTGCAAAAAAACAACTGAAACAAACCTGATTAAATAAATAATATATGAACGAAAATATAACATAATAAAATTTTACACATAAACGTATAATATTGTTTCAAATAATCATAATAAACAATAAGTATAATAAAAAAAAATTTATAACAAAAATTACCTTATAACGAAAAATCGTACGAACTTCTGAATCAAATATGAGAAGATTGTCGGAATTATTGACTCGTTGACGGAATTGTTGTATTAATTTATACGTTGAGAGGGGAGATGTGAGGAGTTTACCGGGGCAGAAAGGTATTTATAGCCGAGAAAAGTTGCTATAAATATACAAGGCGCGGTACCTGCACCGCGCCTTATATAATTGTATCAGTTAAAGCTAAGGTGCGGCCCCTGCCCTGCGCTATATATAATTGAATTAAAGGTAAGGCGCGGCCCCTACCCTGCGCTATTCCCCTACGTAGCGTAAGGCAAGCCCCAAGGGCCGCGCTTTACACACGTGTAACCCACATCAGCATAAGGCGCGCCAGGGGGCGCCTTATCCCACGTGGCGCCAGATTAGCGTAAAGCGCGCTGCAGAGGGGCGCCTTACTGCAAAGGGTGTTAGATCGGGAAAAATAGTCTAAAGGGTGCCTGACAGGGAAAAATAAATGGAAAAGGTGATATATCGGAAAAAACGCCGTCTTTTATTGTATTTAAAAAAAAGTGTCCTTTATCATAAATCATAAAAAGTTTGGTTCTTTATTGTAATTTATAAATAATTTTGTTCTTTATTGTAGTTTATAAAAAAAATTGTCTTCTGCTATAATTTCTAAAAAGTTTTCTTTTATATAAATGTAAAAAAATTAGTCCTTTATTGTAATTTTATTATTTTTATTTTTTTAATAAAAAAGTTGTGATGATATTTTTTATCATTAATACACTAAAATTATTATATTGTAAGTGATTATATGAATAATAAGTGACAAAATTTTATATTATTTTATGGCAATGTTAGTTCACTTAATATAAATGATAAGGCAACGTTATATATTAACGTCAATATATATTTAACAATATGAGATGAATACATCAACACAATTGACATTTAGTGACACCTAATGTGACTTCAATTTTACATCAGCAGATAATGACACAAATGTACATTTCAGAGATAATATATTAGATATCACGTATAAAAATATGTAATGAGATTATAGTTTAAGGATTGATATATAACTTTTTAAAATTTATGGACTAGTTTAAAATAAATCATAGTTTGATTTGGTATCTCATATATATTTTTCTTTATATTTCTAATGCTTGTATATGTTTACGATTCGTTCTTGCAAATGTATAGATAATTAAAGATGGAATCACTTTAATGTCTCCTTTGCTTGCAATGTTAGGTTAGGCATAGAATCAGTGGTGAATTGGGCAGTAAGAAAAAGTAAGAGAAGAATTATTAAGAAATTAGAGAGGTTGTGGGTTGTTATATATTGCAAGAAGAGGTTGGTTTCATAAGAAAAGAAAGAAGGAATGGAGATTCAACATGCAATCCATGAGCACCACTTGTATTTTCAAGAGAGAAGCTGGGGAAATTGCTCTGCATGTTGGAAGCTCTTATTTGGCCCCACCTATGGTTGCACCAAATGTGAAAAGCTTTTTCATAAATCTTGTCTTGATGAGCTCAAACTTGGTAGCTTTATACATTTCACTCATTTTCATCCTACAAAGCCTGTTGATTTCAAGCAGCAGGAAGATAATCAAGTTGTCTGCGCCATTTGTAAACACCTCTGCTCTTCTTCTTCTTCTTCCACCTATGGGTGCATGGAATGCAAGTTTTTCATTCATAAATCTTGCCTCACCACCATTCCACCACAGCTCATCAATCATCTCATCCATCCATGCATTCTCAGCCGATCAGTCATCACCATTACACCCCTTCAATTCTGAATCCCTACTTGTAGTGCATGTTGCCGGGGCATTGATTCATCCCTTTTTGCATACAGTTGTTCAGCTGATCAGTGTGAGTTTACCCTTCACTTGGATTGTGCTAAGCTGTTGCCCAGTTTTGATTGCAATGGCCATCCACACCCTCTCACTCTCTTCCACAAAACACCAGGTATTCCTTGCCATATCTGTGGTGTAAACTGCTATAACTTGGTCCTTCGATGTGTGCCATGTAATTTCAACATCCATCTGCAGTGTTTTCCATCAAAACCCAAAACAACAACCAATAAATCCCATCTCTATCCTTTAAGGAAGAATGAATTAGAAACAAAGTTTGGAACGTGCAGTAAAAGATTTACAGGACGCAGACAATATATTTAAGGAACTTGTGGCACGTGGTCACATATAATATAGTATATGTCAACACGTGTCATTTTAAAAAGGCTTAAAATTTCTCATAGGTCATGTTACATTATAATAAGTTTTATTTTATGTAAATAGTGTATTACTATGTGACTTTATTCTAATTTAAGTTTGATCTTTTGTTAATTTTAAACCTTTAATCATAAACTCGATAATAATCTATATATATATATATATAATCGTTAATTTCATTATGTATTTTAATGGTTTTCTGGTACTTAGATTATATTATATTAGAGATAATTATTGTTAATAAATAGTTGTCGTTATATGTATTATAATTAGTTTTATTTACCTTGTGTATTAACACTTAATTGTGTAATTGTGTCTTTACATGTTAATATATATTTGTTCTTATAAGACACAATTACCTTTAATATTTGTATAGATGATTACTTTATTTTTATTTTATTTTTCTTTTTGAAGTATTTTACTTCCAATGTTTTAATTTTTCATCAAAATAATTTGAATAAACTACAGAGTTGATCACTTTTAGTTCATTTCTTTGAACGTATAGTCACTCGATTCAAAAAGATTAATTCTTAGTCACTTTCGTTTTGTTTTAATTAAGATGTGATCTATAAAACTTTAACTTCCGTTAGTTTGATGACGTGTTACATTAGTAAAACGATTTAATTTCTACTTTAACCCTTGAACTTTAGATAAAATACTAATAATGAACATTATTATAAACTCAAAATAATTTAAGGACAAAAAATTAATTTATCCCTTTTTCAATATGTTTTCTTCCCTAATCCATCTTCTTGCAGATAGTACAGCCACAACTTTATCACCGGCTTTATAATTCTCGACTCCTGATCTAACCTTTACGACTTCTCCTGCTACATGAATACCTGCTCCAACAAGAGTTGTTTAGCCCATGATCGAAAGTAAGCGTGCAGAAAACTGCAAGAAGAAAGTAAGGTACCAGGGATGTTGGGGAATTTGCGAGGTAAGAATGGCCACACAACCCCTTTCTGTATTCTCAAGTCAAGTGGACTGATACTAGTGGCCTCCACTTTTACCAAAACTTCATCCTGTTTTGGACAGGGAATCGGAAATTCAACATACTGCGCCAGAAAAAAACATAGCAAATATATACTACAGGCTACAGCTTTACCATCAACCTTGAGTTTTTTTTTATAAAAAAAAAACCTTGTGCTGGTTTTCTGTTTTGATATAAGCAGTAGATGAACAAACTGTATTGGGATTTCCATTTTAATAATGAAAAACTATAATATATGTCCTTTGTTTAAACTTTTGAAGCAGCAATAAGGCAAACAAGGAAGAAGAGTACCTTGAGAGCAGTGGCTCCTGCGCCATAACTATTATATTGAACGGCTTGCTTCATCTTATTCGCCTTTTTTGTTTATGGAACATATCCAGTAGGGGTGTGAAAAAAAATCTGATCCGATCCATTGATCTTCAATTCGATCCGAAAATTCAGATATCCGAGAAAAATTTGGATAATCGAATTATATACGGAATGGTGAAATTTCAGTTTCGGATTATCCGAAAATAAATTGGACTTTAGATAATTTTATTTGGGCCCAACAGTTTCAGCCCCTACACCAGCCCCCACCCCACAGCAGCGTCTCCCAGCTTCTTCTTCTTCTTTTTTATTTTTTTAATTTCTAAATTATTTAAACTTTTAAATTATTTATTTTTCAAGCTTTTAAATAAGATATTACGTGTTTATTTTAAAATTATTCAAGTATATTTTGATAAATATATAGTAAAGGTATAAAATATATTATACAAAGTTTAAAATTATTAATTTTTTTATTTTTTTTATCAAATTAAACTTTTTTCAGATCATATACAAATCTCAATTTTAGTGATATGAAATTTTCGGATATCCAAAATTTCGGATCAGATAATATCCATATTCGAAAATGCACACCCCTCCAGCGGCGAAAGAAGATGGATTGGGGAAGAAAACATATTAAAAAAAGGGGAAAATTAAATTTTAGTAACTAAATTATTTTGGGTTTATAAAAATGTCCATTATTAGTATTTTATCTAAAGTTCAAGGATTATAGTAGAAATTAAACAATTTTACTAACGTGACACGCCATCAAACTAACGGAAATTAACGTTTCAATGATCACGTCTTAATTAAAACAAAACAAAAGTGACTACGAATTAACTTTTTTGAATCGAGTGACCATACTTTTAAAAAAAATGAAACAAATGTGATCAACTCTATTGTTTACCCAAACAATTTATGTCAAATAAAAAATTTTAGTTAACTAACCGTCAACACATGTCGTTGACGTGATATTTTCACATGTGTTGAATTATTGATATAACACATGACGTGTCATCATTTTGGATAATGTGACATTTCTAGATGAATTTAATTGTTGACGTGACACATCATCAATTTAAGTGACATGATACATACCACATCATTATTTTGGGTGAAATTACACATGTCATGTCAGCAATTGATTATATTTAAAATGACATCTCAGCAATTGATTACATGTAAAAATAACATGTCAACAACATTTGTTAACTGTTAGTCAACTAAGGATTTTCATTCAACAGGAGATGTTTTGACAAAAATAAATAAATTAAAATGTTGGAATCAGTGATGAACCTAGAGGGGGACAGGGTAGGGACGATCGCCTCCTAAAAGTTTCAAATTCTTATATATTTTTAATATTTTTTTTGTATTTTCTATTAAAAAATATGTTTTTTACCATTAAAATTTTATAAATTCGCTCCTTCTAACATGAAATCATCTGTCCGTCCTTAATATTATTATAAGAAAGTCGACAGTTCTCCAGTGCGACACCTTAATATAAGGCTAAAATAAGGCGCTACCGGTTTTGTTATTATTTAAATAATAAAATCAGTAAAAAATTACCTATAATATTATTATTTTTACCTAAAACATTATTTTTTTTAACATTTCCGGTTATTTTTAGCACCTAGTAATGTTTTCGGTCATTTTTTAGCACATAATAATGTTTCCGGTCATTTTTTGAAAATCCGATTAAAACACCTAATAATAACAAAACCGGTCATTTTTAACGCCTAATAATATTTCCGATCATTTTTTACCGATTTTGTTATTTAAATAATAACAAAATCAATAGCAATTTTTTAACCGTATATTAAAACTGTCGCACGTGATCATTCCCCAAGAAAGTCGTGACCCTTAAACATATACAACAAACAAGCATAAATGTATTTTCTTATAAACTAAATTTAGTATGTCATTCAGTATTTATTTTATCTTTTCATATTATTATAATAACATTTTTATCTTTCCATATATTTTTTAGAGAAAATAACCTCAGTGACCAAAAATGTCTTATAATATACAATTTTAACCAACTTTTTTTGGATTTGCCAAAATGACCAACTAAATCGCAATGCGATCGATAATTCGCAACGCGATCTCCGGTATCGCAAATCAGTTTCCAGATTCGCAACTCGATTCTGACTATCGCATTGCGATTTCCCAAATTCGCGTTGCGATTTTCCTAATTCGCATTGCGATTTTTCTAATTCGCATTGCGATTTACGTAACCGCATTGCGATTTACGTAATCGCATTGCGATTTTACTAATTCGCATTGCGATTTACGTAATCGCATTGCGATTTTCCTAATTCGCACTTCGATTTACGTAATCGCATTGCGATTTAGTAAATCGCAACGAGATTCTGACTATCGCAATACTGAATTTCAAATTCGCAACTCGATTTCTGAATTCGCAACAGGTTTTAATTTCGCAACACAAATGTTTTGGGTATATAAATACGCAGCAGCAACAACTCATAACCTAAATCCCTAAATCGCAACTCATTCCATCTCCATCTATCACTCTCTCCGGCGATATCCGTTCCTATATCCAACGACATTCTTCCCCATCCGGCAACAGGTTTTAGTTTCGCAGCTCGTTTGTTTAGTAAATTAATTTACAATAATGAAATCATCTAATGTTGATCGTGTTTGGATAGATTTTTGTTTTGGAGGGTTATGGGAGAATGTTCATGGTGTTTTACAATATATGCCTTTACCCATGAATCTTCAACTAAAACTGTCATTAAAAAAGTTAACTTATGAAACTCTAATGTTACGTGTTGCAAATAAATTGAATTTAAAGCCCCTAAGTGGATTTAGGCTATCTTATCGGAAAAATGGTAAAGTTTATTTGTTAACCGACAATGAAGATGTTGAACGATTCATTTCTTACATTAGTGTTTCAAGTGATGATGGTACATTGTATGTTGTTGAACCTAGAAGTAGTGAAGTTGGGTCAGTAGCGGGTAGTAATCAACTAAGTTTTTCAACCCCAGTTTATGATGCTCAAAATTTAATGGTTCCACCACAATTTCATCACCAAGCAAATATTGTTTCACCACATTTCCAATACCAAACACAATCTCAAAACCCACAACCTTTCCCTAATCCAAATCTCAATCAACTTTCAGCACCAAATTTCGGTTTTCGTATTGACCAGTTAGACGATGATGAGCCAACAAAAAAATTGTGAGTACTAGTCAGTATTCGAAATTTGATCTTGGTCAATACCCGGACTTTGATATTGGTCAATATTCGGATTTTGATGATTTTTCAGAAGAAGAAACAGACCCTGTGTGTAATGATTTTGATATTGGTCAATACCCGAATTTTGATGATGAAACAACCATTGCCGAGGAAGATGTTGTTGATGATAATGAGGAGGAAGTTACGACTGTAAATGAACATCTTGAACATCCATTCTGTAATTCATATAACACTGAAGAAGAAAAACAAGAAGAAGAAATCCCCAAAGAAAAGTCCCCGAAGAAAATGCCACGGGAGTATAACTGGAATATGCCAGAATTTCTTCAGATACCGGAAGAAGAGTTGGTAAAGATAGCAGTTGATTGTCACACAAAAATTATTTGTATCAAGAAAGATGATTGTTTTGATACAAAGGAAGACTTGAAGATAGCTTTGTATACGAAATGTGTGGAAGATGGCTATCAACTAAAAATTAACAAATCAAGCAAAGATCGTTTCGAAACAAGGTGTATGATTGACAAAAACTGTATGTGGCGTATGATTGCAAAGAGGATAAAAGATTGTGAAATGTTTCAAGTTAGGACTTTTATTGATAAACATACATGTTCAAGAACCCAAGTTTTTCCTCACCATAGACAGGCAAACAAAAAGGTGTTGGGTGGTTTTCTGGCTGAGTTAATGTTTTTGAATGGTAGGGTATATCGGGGACATGAAATTATGACTGACATGAATGCTCGGTTCAAGATTAGTATCTCATATTCTCAAGCTTGGAGAGCCAAATATTATGCCTTGGAATTGTTGAGGGGGTCGCCAGAAGCATCGTTTGCCCAACTGCCGGCTTATTGTCACAATTTAAAGCTGAAAAATCCTGGGTCGGTAACTCATATCAAAACAGATAGAGATGGACGCTTTGAGTTTCTGTTTATCGCCATTGGTGCTACGGTTAGTAAATCAATATAATTTTGTTGACTCATTTTTGTTAGTTACATGCATTTCACATTTAAATGATTATATTTCTTGTGTATATGATTTTGTAGATTCGTTCGTTTATTAATTGCATGCGCCTAGTTATTATAGTTGACGGAGCACATTTAAAAGGTCGATACCTTGGAGTAAACTTATTAGCAGTAGCCATGGATGCTAACAATGGGATACTGCCAATAGCTTACGGGGTTGGAAAATCTGAAACCTCTGATTCATGGACATGGTTTATGGGGCATCTTAGGGATTGCATAGGTCCTATTAGCAATCTGACAATCATATCCGATAGGGCAAACTCAATTGACAACGCTGTTAGAAGGTGTTTCCCAGATGTTTTTCATGGACTTTGTGGTGTTCATTTGTATAGAAATCTAAAATCAAGGTCTTCTGGTATAAAAAATAACAAATGGACATACTGGAAGGCTGTAAAAGCTTATCGGGAAGTGGATTTTAATAAGCATATAAAATGTTTAAGACGTGTTTTGCCTCAGTGTGCTCAAATACTAGAAGATGTCAGGTTTGAAAGATGGTCAATAGTACATCAACTTGGAGCAAGATATGGTTTCATGACGTCTAATAGTGTAGAATCAATCAACGCTCTAAGTCGTCATTCCCAGAAATTACCCATTACTATGTTAATGGAGTTTTTTCGAGCCTCTATTCAACAGTGGTACTACAAGAAAAGAAACCATGCAAGTATTATTTCTTTAAATTCGTAACTTATCATATATTTTACTAAGTATTATTTATTTAAATTTACAGGAACATTGGAACATCGTGTTACACCATGGACAGAAAAAAAGATAGCGAAACATGTTGTGAAGTCAACGTCATG